CCAGGTTTAATGACGTCGCTCACTGTCGAGAAAAGTAAGCGGGCTTGGGCAGGACACGTCGCAGGAAGAGACGACGGCCAGAGGTCAAGAGCACCCGAGAAGTCGTCCGCTGAGAAGACGGAGCAATGAAATCGGCTCGCGTGCCGGTGCCAGGTGGATCGTTACGGCTTCTCTGTCGTTAGCGTCGACTGCCAGCCAGTCGTCCCTTCGAGCGACGTCGGTCGGCTGGTGGGAGCCATCGGCTTTGGTGCCCGCTTGCGAAGTGCGACACGACGTCGCGTATCTGACTCGCTGGGGACTTGAGGCATCGGTCCGGGTCAAACGGTCGGATGTCTGAACATCTACAGACAGTGACGGTTCCATTGGCGCGCATAGAAAGGTCACCGGATACAAATGAAGAGCAAACTGATTTGACTGCTGGGAGAAAGAGTTGCTGTGCTTTAGGGGCATCTGTAAAAAAAAAGAGCTTTTTAGCTCATCGGATTCCTCCAGTATAAATAAATATTCTGATAGGCGTGAGCGAGCGAATGTACGCGAGACTAAGAACGCGAGACCGTGCGTTAAAGCGGTCGGTTCACACCACTGTGCACACATACTGCGCACGCATACTGCACAGGGTACGGACAGTTAATTGATCACAACGGACGTCTGTGATGCTTGGCTATGCGGACATACTGCAGTGCAGCAAGGAGTTTACTTTGAGGCAGACTTTTGAGCATTCTTTCTCACATGTCGTTAGGTTTTTTTTTTCCAAGCGCCCTGGCTTCTCTTTACCCCATGACACGCACACCAAACTTCAAAAAGATGGATTTGGCTAAAGGTCCCAGTGCGACGCGGGAACCCCGATGGAAACCAATCTCGAGAGACTCTCGCGTGATTCTGTTGGGCTTAACAAAGACTCATTGTTTATGTTCTTGTTACGACACCCATTAAGTTGCATCTTGACGATGCTGGCGGCGTCTTTGTTGCGACTTCCCACCGCCAGGGAAAAGGCCTCGCCCCCCCCCCCCCCCCCCCGGTTCTCTTCCATTCGGTCCGTTCCTCAAAGCCTCTTGTCCCGGTGGTGACGGCCGGACTCTGTGATGTCGCTTTGCCGTCCCCTCCTCTCTCTTCTTCCTCCGCCGCCGCTCCTTCTTCTTCCCTTCTCTCGGTCTCCACTCCAGAGGCAAGTTTCGTCTCTCGTCTCTAGTCAGTCGTTCCTGGCCCTGCCCATTCCCACTCGATCCCTTCTGCTTTTACAGTGGCAGCAGCATCGGCGATCTCCCCCTGTTCCTTTCCGTATTTTATTGATTCCTTGACTCATTCCTCAAATATGTTTGGCAAAAAAAAATAGTTGGCAAACTTGTAGCTTTTTTTTCCGTACTTGTTTCTCACTCAAGGACCATGCCTGTGATCCTTAAAATAACACCGGCAAAAAATGCACGTGTTCCGTTTTTTCTTGCGTAGGCGTATAGGCTGACGCTTGACGTACAACACATAAAGAACATGAACACACACGTCGGGCCCCAGAGCGCGGGGGAGGCGTTCTCGCTCAACAAGGGAACTGAACAGTTGTTTGCGACCACTCGGTGAATTCCGTCATCGGCGCTTGTAGTCCAGTCCAGCTTGGTCCGGTCCGTTCCGTGCGGAGTTGGTGCTCCGGGTTTTTCTCGTGCGCTCGCCGACTTAACAGCTAAATCCGGTCGGTCTGGCGCACAGTCGGCACGGGGTCAGTGGGCGTGCGAGCGTGCGAGCGAGCGAGTTGAGAGCGTGCGCGAGGGAGATAGCCCCGGCGAGCGAGCAGGAACTTGCCCCTGTGTGGGCGACGCCGTGTGGATGCGCTTGCTGCGAAGCGAGAAGGACACCTGGCAGCGTTTGCCGTGGGACGTTTAGGATCGGCGGATAAACGACAACGCGTCACGTAAGTCGTAAATTGTTTCGCGTTTTTTTTTCTTCAGTGGCGGGGCACTTGGCATTGACCTCAAAGTGCACCTAGCCTGGCACATGGTGATGTTTGTCCGTAGACCTTTAAGGATCAGAGGGTAAAAGTTGTAAAATACTCACGTTTTTGTTCTCTTTTAGTGGAAAGACTTGTTTGTAAATCTAAAAAAATATGTAGCAACTTTGTGGCAGGCTGCTTTCGATGACAGTTATGACGTCGTGGTTATGATTTATTCTTGAATGGGATAAAGAAAAAAAAACGTTGAGGATTAAGTGTGCCTCGCACGCTCCTCGTAGCAATAAAACAAGCATTAATTAGGTACACAGGGAAAAAATAATAGTTTTCTTTCAGAAAAAAAAGTCACGGGGACCAGATTTTGATCTCGGAGGAAGTTCAACGTTCGTCAGGTTTTTTTTGTTTTGCCAAAAAATGTGCTGAGGTATTCGGTGCCTAACAATGGGGGCTCGGTCTCCGCAGCAGCAGCAGCAGCAGCGATGTTGATTTGGCCATTTCAGCCGAAGCACACGCAGTTTATTTGTACGCACTCAAAGTAACGTTCCCTTCGAGAACGTGCGCAGGTTAACGGCAGCTTAATGGCATGGCATTGCGACGCCAGAAGTGGGCGATATTTCAGAGTAATTGACGGGGAGTGGGGCGTCCGACGTGGATGGAACGTGCCCCCCCCCCCCGAGAGGACGTCTCACGAGGAGACGGAGCGACGAAATCTCCTCGTGTTGCCGCCGGCGCTCGGGTTGAAGCGTTGCCGTCGCGCGATCATCCAGCAGTGGATCGATCTTGGCCGATGGAGATAACGATCGAATCTTGACTTAAAGCTTTCGTGACTGCAGGAATTTAATAGAAAAAAAATAATAAAAATATCACGACACTTCGATCGCAACACAATGATGACGATTGCTTGTGTTGCGATCGAAACGTCGCGATATTTTTATTGATTTTTCTATCTACGTGGCTTTACCGAAAGACGCAAAGAATATGATAACCATCGTGACGATAATAAAAAAAAGTTATTTTCTCCTCGTGAAAATGCGTGCTTTAAAATCGCCGCTGGAAAACTTTCCGTGGCCGACTTGTGTTTCACCACCAGACGGGCGTGCGGAATTCAAAGTCGGGTTAGAGGCTACGACGTTCCATTATTTGCCCACTTCTTCGGTTACGTTTCATTTACCGTATTCTATTCGGGTTAAGAACCTGAGCAAATTCCACACGCGCAGCACCACTTATTGGCTTAAAGGGCGCGAGAGAGCGAGCGAGAACAAGACGGGCAACTTTGGGACGTTCAATAAAGGCACCGAGGTTGCTCCTCGCCAGTCGCCCCTGTCAGCGACACGGCATACAGCGAACCGTGCTTGGCGAGTGCCGGCAGCGAGCGGTGAGGGGGGGGGGGGGGGTGCTGAGCGCTCGCGCCGGATTGTTCCGCCACATGTGAGGCAAGGGGCAGCCCGTGTGACTTTCCGAAGCCGGTGTGCGGGCGTCACGCTCCGATTTTTCTGCGCGCTTTCCAGCCGAGGTTGCAATTGTTTAACGCGTCAGCTCTCTCCTTGTGCCCGTCCGTCCGTCCGTCTTGTGCCTGTGTGCGACTCGGGGGCACGATAACGCTCGTGGAGATGAGCCAGCGTGAACGGAACTTGCGTGGAAAGTTGTGACGCTGTTAGGGACTCGCCCGAGAGAAAACCGGTCCTGTTGGGCAAAGGGTTGCTCAAAGCCTCGAGACAACAAAATACCGGCTTTTCTTTTGTTCTGGTCAATAGTTAGATCTTGCAAATTAGTATCGTTGCCCCTTTATCACATACGTGCTGTCTGTACCGTACATAGCCAACTGTGCTAATCGGAGGTATTGTATTTGTGACCCAGTGCTCCCTTGAAAGAGATACTTTTAGTCTCAAAAGCCCCTCGTGCACATACACATACACCTCCAGCCATTGGCTTCTATCCACTGCTGAACCAATGTCCCCCGAGCCACACAGTCGCCATTTCCTCACAGCCCCTTGCGATGCCGCCCGCAATCCGCCTCGCGCCCTGCTACACGGCCTCTTATTCGTCGCTCCATCTCCGCGGTGCACGTCCTCTCGCCGCCGCCGCCGCCGGTGTTCACGTGCCGTCGCCGGTGTTCACGTGCCATCGCCGGCGTTCACGTGCCATCGCCGGTGTTCACGTGCCGCCGCCGGTGTTCATGTGCCGCCGCCGGTGTTCACGTGCCATCGCCGGCGTTCACGTGCCATCGCCGGTGTTCACGTGCCGCCGCCGGTGTTCACGTGCCGCCGCCGGTGTTCACGTGCCATCGCCGAGCCGGCGCGATGGCTCCGCCGTAGACCACCGGGCGGCTCGCTGCCGTAAGGCTGCGAGTTCGTATCCTGGTTTTCAGGTTGACTCACCCCATCATCCCTACGGGGGCCGGTAAAATAGGATCGCGCCTCTGCCGTAGGAACGTGGAATTTCCCACCAGAGGCTCAGGTCTGTAAATGAGAGGTTGAGCGCAGCGGCAACTCTCCATCGGAGCAGGAAATCCCTTTGACGTTCTTGAGGCACGAACGCAGGAGAGGCCGTCCTTTCAGGAAGTAGCTTCGTCACGACACGAGGAGCCGACGCGCCGGCCTCTGTGATGACCTTGGACTAGACCTCCACACCGCATCGTCGACTCGGCCCACAGTAGGCGGCTATCGCGGTGCCTGCTCATTTCTTTAGAACTGCTTTTTTGCGTTTCGTTTTTTTGTCTTTCTCCCGCACCTCCGATGAGCACGGTTGGCCACGTATGGTGCGAAAGAAGTTCAAAATACGTACTACGTACGTACATGTGTGTGTGTGTGTTCGCCTGCCGCCCCTCGCTGTCTCCTGATGTGTATTGTACGGAGGCAACGATGTTGTACATCGCCGTAAATCCTTGTGTATTGGTGCCTCTTGCCGTGTCGCCTTCCGACTCACGTTGTCGCTTGCCGTCTGGATCTCCCGTCGTCTCCCCCTCGCTGTCCGCCGTCGCCATCTTTCCCCCGTCGCCTCTCCCGCCGTGCTCGTCGCGTCTCACCCGCCGGCACCGCCCCCCCCCCCGCCCCTCCCGTCGCAGTGTCCAAGAAGCACGGGAAGCTCATCACCTTCCTCAGATCCTTCATGAAGTCGCGACCGTCCAAGCAGCGGCTGAAGCAGCGCGGGATTCTGCGTGAGCGGGTCTTCGGCTGCGACCTGGGGGAGTACCTGCTCAACTCTGCGCACGACGGTGAGCGTCGCCCGTCCGCCGGGGAGCCTATCCAGTCCCCTCCCACCCCCCCACCCATCCCCGCGTGATCCACCAACCCCTCTGGCCCAGTGCCGGATTAAGCTAGTGCGGGGCCTGTAGCATATGTTATAAAGGGGTCCTAAATAACAAAAAACACAAATATGAAAACATACATTTTTCACTTGCACAGTAAAGTTATTGTATTTTTTTATTTGCTATACAGCCAGATAATACGACAAATCGCTAACCTTAAACACCCAGTCGTTGATAAAAGTTGAAGGCGGTATAGTACTATAGTAATAGAGCAAGTGCAGAATTCTCATTCTACGTGACTTTACCGAAAGAACCAAAGAAGATGAATCATTGCAGTCACGAAAGCTTTAAATCGAAATTTAACGGAATTGATAGCTTGAAAGCATTTAGCGCGGGGCCCTTGAAAGTGCGGGGCCCGTAGCTACATATGTAGCTACTTTTGCTCCTAGGAGAATCTGGCACTGCCCTCGCCTCCAGACCCAGAGCTGGCTGTAACAGCTCCACGACCCAATTAGCAGTTCCGTTGCCCGTGAGGCTACCGCCGCCTCCACCCTGGTGCAGTGACGCTGGCGAGCACCCTGGGCGTGCATGCCTCTCGGGTGGCCGCTCCGATTCGATCTCCCGGCGTGGCAGTTGATGTAATGGATGGGAAAATGTCTTAAATCTGTGTGGTGGGGGTAAAGTGTGGGTACTCGCACATCGTCCAAGGCATCTGGACAACATTCATTATTGGGCTTTTGTCCCTGGATAGAAAGATTATGGCCACGTGCTCGACTCATGATGTGGATAACGGGCAGAGCGACCTGAGTGGTGGGCGGGGCCACCTGGTTAGTGGGCGGGGGCCACCTGGTTAGTGGGCGAGGCCACCTGGTTAGTGGGCGGGGGCCACCTGGTTAGTGGGCGGGGGCCACCTGGTTAGTGGGCGGGGGCCACCTGGTTAGTGGGCGGGGGCCACCTGGTTAGTGGGCGGGGGCCACCTGGTTAGTGGGCGGGGGCCACCTGGTTAGTGGGCGGGGCCACCAGATTAGTGGGCGGGGCCACCTGATTACCGGTCGGTAGGGCCTATGAGAGTAAGGGGGGCTGGGGGCTGAGAGATGTGGGGAGGGGTTGCCAGCTCACCATGCGGTCCCAGTTGAGCCTCCCAGAAATGCGTCAGCGGGTTCCTCCCGTGCGGTGCGGAGTCACGAGTGATCGCTCGGTCGTGTCTGCGTGCAGTCCCGCAGGTGGTGAAGAGCTGTGCCGAATTCATCGAGAGGCATGGCATCGTGGATGGCATCTACCGCCTCTCCGGGGTTGCCTCCAACATCCAGAAGTTACGGTGAGGACGTGCGGCGAAACTCGTCTCCCGGCACCAGCACCAGGAGAGCGGGCTCGGTTCGCGTGCATGAGAGATATATAGCCTGCAGCACCACGGAGCCGTAGGGCATGCGGACAGCGTCGGGGAGACCTCCATCCAGCAGTGGATAGGCCGTGGCTCATTATGATCACGTAGATCACTCGGTGTTCGCCCATCCAGAGTTTGACCCGGTACCAAGCACTCCTTGGCAGTTGATCTGCGGCGAGGCCGAGCCCTAACTCTCCCACTCCTTACCCCCCCCCCCCAACTCGCCCACCCGCCCACGCAGGCATGAGTTCGACTCGGAGCACGTGCCTGACCTCATGAAGGAGGCGTTCCTGCAGGACATCCACTGCGTGAGCTCGCTCTGCAAGCTCTACTTCCGCGAGCTGCCAAACCCCCTGCTCACCTACCAGCTGTACGACAAGTTCTCGGTGAGCGTGCACTCGGCCCCCGGGGGGGGCGGAGTGGGGGCGAGGCTTTGGCGTGTTGACGCACCGTTTGTTACGCCGCCGCTGTCGGTGACGCGAGGTTCCGTCTGACGGCGCAGGAGGCGATGACTTCCCCAACGGAAGAGGACAAACTCGTCAAGATCCACGACGCCATCCAGCAGTTACCGCCACCACACTACAGGTACGCACGCACGGGCGACCGCATGGGCGCGTGCCGTTGCCCACAATAAAATAATTTAATGATTTGATACTTTGTAACTCGCCGTACGGTATTCGCTCGCTCTCGAGGAGTGACATCGAATTGGAGGTGGGAGGAGAACCGCAGGCGAGCGGGAAATGCAGCCAGGCTGGCGAGCGAGCGTCAAATTCCCGTCGAGCTCTCTGGCCCTCTGCACATTCCGTCGGTCGAGATTGGACTGCGAGACGAAGCTCCGTTGAGCAATGATCAACGTGCGCACCTTGCGAGCCCCGTTGACCAACCATGCACGGTCGGGCGCCGGCGACCCGTTGGCGCACGACGAGCGGGCACGAACAGAACAACGCCTGGCGCGAGCGCTGACGCCTGGGACGTGGCCGTGCGTTTCACTGGCCTCTGCAGGACGCTGGAGTACCTGATGAAGCACCTGTGGGCCCTGGCGTTGCATAGCGACAAGACGGGCATGCACAGCAAGAACCTGGCCATCGTGTGGGCGCCCAACCTGCTCCGGTAAAAATCGGCACGGCTACTGCCGGCGCCTCCAGTGTCACCAACGTCACCGCCTTCCGTCCGCATTGGCATCACGACCATCGCTACCACTGCCTCCATCACCACCGGCATCACCACCATCGCTACCACTGCCTCCATCACCACCGGCATTACCACCATCGCTACCATTGCCTCCATCACCACCGGCATCACCACCATCGCTACCACTGCCTCCATCACCACCGGCATCACCACCATCGCTACCATTGCCTCCATCACCATCGGTATCACCACTATCGCTACCATTGCCTCCATCGCCTCCATCACCACCAGCATCACCACCATCGCTGCCACTTCCTCGATCACCACCGGCATCACCACCATCGCTACCACTGCCTCCATCACCACCGGTATTACCACCATCGCTACCACTGCCTCCATCACCACTGGCATTACCACCATCGATACCACTGCCTCCATCACCACCGGCATCACCACCATCACTACCACTGCCTCCATCATCGCCGGCATCACCACCATCGCTACCACTGCCTCCATCACCACCGGCATCACCACCATCGCTACCACTGCCTCCATCACCACCAGCATCACCACCATCGCCACCACTGCCTCCATCACCACCAGCATCACCACCATCGCTGCCGCTTTCTCCATCGCTGCCACTTTCTCCATCACCACCGACATTACCACCATCGCTACCACTTCCTCGATCACCACCATCATCACCACCATCGCTACCACTGCCTCCATCACCACCGGCATCACCACCATCGGTGCCACTGCCTCCATCACCACCAGCATCACCACCATCGCTACCACTGCCTCCATCACCCACCAGCATCACCACCATCGCTACCACTGCCTCCATCACCCACCAGCATCACCACCATCGCTACCACTGCCTCCATCACCACCAGCATCACCACAATCACTGCCTCCATCACCACCGGTATCACCACCATCGCTACCACTTCCTCCACTGCCAGCATCAACACAATCACTACCAGTTTTTACCAGATACATTTTCCGCACGAATAAGCTTCAGGTGTGGTTTTAGGCCTCAAAACACACACACATCTTTGGTCTATGTAAATGTAAGTATTTACCAATCAATTTCAGCCATACAAGTGTTCATCATATCTTATAAATTTTTGCGTGATATTTATACTCCGTTAAATCAACATTCTAATAAAATAAACCCCACAACTTATCTCAGAGGAATGAATATCCAGTTTTATACAACTCATGTACATGCACAATTATCATTTTTACGTGCTATGAAGAAGGGTCATTGCCAGAAATGTTGCCAATTATATATTTATATATATTTTGAAGGTAGTGTTGCTGATGAATATGACCTTTCTCGTTCATTGTGCTTGTGCACCATTGCCAATGCAACATTAACAAATAATTTACGCAATTTTGGGTTCTCTATGAAGTTCATTGTAGATTTTAAGTTTTCGTGACTGCAAGGATCCATACTCTTTGGTACTTTCGGTAAGGTCACGTAGGTAGAAAAATAAATAAAATAAAAAACAAACTGCTGGAATGATCCATTCCAGCAGTTTGTTTCTAGCTGTGGTGGTCCCCCACTCCAGCTGTGGTGGTCCCACTCCAGCTGTGGTGGTCCCCCACTCCAGCTGTGGTGGTCCCCCACTCCAGCTGTGGTGGTCCCACTCCAGCTGTGGTGGTCCCCCACTCCAGCTGTGGTGGTCCCCCACTCCAGCTGTGGTGGTCCCCCACTCCAGCTCTGGTGGTCCCCCACTCCAGCTGTGGTGGTCCCCCACTCCAGCTGTGGTGGTCCCCCACTCCAGCTGTGGTGGTCCCACTCCAGCTGTGGTGGTCCCACTCCAGCTGTGGTGGTCCCCCACTCCAGCTGTGGTGGTCCCCCGCTCCAGCTGTGGTGGTCCCCCACTCCAGCTGTGGTGGTCCCCCACTCCAGCTATGGTGGTCCCACTCCAGCTGTGGTGGTCCCCCACTCCAGCTGTGGTCCCCCACTCCAGCTGTGGTGGTCCCCCACTCCAGCTGTGGTGGTCCCCCACTCCAGCTGTGGTGGTCCCCCACTCCAGCAGTTTCTTTCTAGCTGTGGTGGTCCCACCTGATGACAGGCGCTTGTGTTGCGCCCGAAACGTCGTGATTTATTTTTTATTTTTTTATTTTACTTCTTTTTCACCTACGTGACTTCACTGAAAGAACCAAGGAGTATCTCTCTAAAGTTGTTCACGCAAATACATCAAGAGTTTCCTAAAGACCAGTAAGCCAAAAACTAAAGTTTATTTGCCACCACCATCAAAATAACCTTCACAATGACCACCACCTTCACAAAGACAAAGATCCCCCGTATAGCCTGTTGGGGCAAGTGCTGTTAGTGAGCACCTATGAAGGCCGTCACGGGCACACGAGGTGGGTGGGTGACCAACTCCACGCCCGACCGCCTTTGTCTCCCGAGTGGCAATGTTTACGCACTGGACCAGGTCCTCATTTGAGGCTAAGTCTACCTAACGGAGGCTCAGAACTGGTTCAGATAATTCGTCACTGGTGTTAGCCGTGAGCGAGAATCGAACTCGGGTCGCCGGGTTCGTAACGCAGCGCGGTAACCGCTACACCACCGCTCACCGCAACCATCACCATTAACATCACAACCACCGCTACCGTCGCCAACAACAGCAGCACCACCACCACCGCCGTTTTCCACGACTTTCCTGCGCCTTTCAGGACGCAGACGATCGAGATGGCGGGCTATAACAGCACGATGGCGTTCATGGAGGTGCGCATGCAGTCCGTGGTGGTGGAGTTTCTGCTGAACCACACCGAGGTGCTGTTCAGCGACCGCTTCTCGTCCATCGTGCGCGACAACGCAGGTGACGACTCGCGTCTCGCCGCTGCCGTAGTCGTCGGCTGCCTTCGTCAGCTCGCGCGCCCTCATTCTCGTGGCGGCACACCCGGGCAAACGTGGCAACGTTGGGCCAACGTTGGGCCAACGTTGGGCCAACGTTGGGCCAACGTTGGCCCCGCGGTTGGACCGACGTCGGCCCCGCGTCGGCCCCCCGACGTTTAGGTGTCGACTGGGAAGCTTTCACGAAGGTGCGCCTGTGTTGCGCGGAAGGAGTGAATCGTAGGAGTGAGAGGGGAAAGTGAAAGGAGTTGCTTAAGCGCTGATTGGAAGCGCCCCGTTCTTTAATATTAACGACGTCATTACTGCGTCCGTAAAACCCAAAACTTCATTCATAAGGGTTCGTAATTGGAACGCTTGACCAACGCTCTTTAAAATGAAGCAGCATTTTGGTTTACTGTGCAAAAAAAGACAAAAAACGAAGTAGCCGGAGAAAAATCACGATTGAGAGGGATAACACAGGGAGGAGTCCGCACTGTCATCTGTCGGCCACGTCCGCAGCCTCGCGGCTTTTGGAGTCTGAGCGCCGCGATTACGCTCCCCACATTGTGCGTATGTTTTCGGGGGTTCTGCCGCGCAGGGACGGTTGAGAAACCTGCGCTATTCACGAGCGGCTGCATGGATGTTGATGGCGGCTCGTGGCGCGAAACGTCGGACGTAATGCCGGACAAGTCGCAAAACATGCGGTACAGCCCAAGAGCGCGCGACGGGAGACCTCCGCGTTTATTCATTCGCTCGTTCGGTTACAGGTCGCGCTTCCGTACCGAGGCCTAAGTCTCTCCTCGTCAGCTCCTCGTCCACCAAACTGCTGAGCCTGGAGGAGGCCCAAGCGCGGAGGGACGTTGCTGCCGCCACCGCCGGCGCCGCCGCCGCCACCGCCGCCGTCATCGCCGCCCCGCACGCGTCCCCCGCCCCGCTGACGCCCGGTGGCACCGCCGCCGCCGTCGTTGTCGGCGCTGGCGGAGCGAGCGGCCTCACCTCGGCCGCTACGCCAGAGGGCGGGCGGGCGTGGGAGATGGCGGCCGAGGCCACGCCAGCGCTGGACATGCACGGCGAGAGGTGCGTAGCGGGGGGGCGGCGGTGGTACCGCGCGTCGGGGGGGGGGATGGTGCAAGCCGTTTGTGTTCGATATCAGTCCATGGAAACGGATACCACAGAGCTATCTCTGGGATGCCTTCAATTGACCTCGAAACACCACCTCGCTTGCTCTGCCACCGAGAGAAATGTGTGTCTCGTTACAGTCAAACTGTTTTGTTTTTCGTGACCTCGATAACTTAAGCAAGACTCAATAAGTTATGTCAATTCAGATAGCTACATTTGAAGGTAGAACTGCATTCTGGGTGGGGGGGTAAAGCTATCGGGCATTGCCCGAAACATCACTTGCCAATATATTTTCTTTTACAATGAGGGAAAAAAGTATTTGATCCCCTGCTGATTTTGTACGTTTGCCCACTGACAAAGAAATGATCAGTCTATAATTTTAATGGTAGGTTTATTTGAACAGTGAGAGACGGAATAACAACAACAAAATCCAGAAAAACGCATGTCAAAAATGTTATAAATTGATTTGCATTTTAATGAGGAAAATAAGTATTTGACCCCCTCTCAATCAGAAAGATTTCTGGCTCCCAGGTGTCTTTTATACAGGTAACGAGCTGAGATTAGGAGCACACTCTTAAAGGGAGTGCTCCTGATCTCAGCTTGTTACCTGTATAAAAGACACCTGTCCACAGAAGCAATCAATAAATCAGATTCCAAACTCTCCACCATGGCCAAGACCAAAGAGCTATCCAAGGATGTCAGGGACAAGATTGTAGACCTACACAAGGCTGGAATGGGCTACAAGACCATTGCCAAGTAGCTTGGTGAGAAGGTGACAACAGTTGGTGCGATTATTCGCAAATGGAAGAAACACAAAAGAACTGTCAATCGTCCTCGGCCTGGGGCTCCATGCAAGATCTCACCTCGTGGAGTTGCAATGATCATGAGAACGGTGAGGAATCAACCCAGAAATACACGGGAGGATCTTGTCAATGATCTCAAGGCAGCTGGGACCATAGTCACCAAGAAAAAATTGGTAACACACTATGTCGTGAAGGACTGAAATCCTGCAGCGCCCGCAAGGTCCCCCTGCTCAAGAAAGCACATGTACATGCCCGTCTGAAGTTTGCCAATGAACATCTGAATGATTCAGAGGACAACTGGGTGAAAGTATTGTGGTCAGATGAGACCAAAATGGAGCTCTTTGGCATCAACTCAACTCGCCGTGTTTGGAGGAGGAATCCTGCCTATGACCCCAAGAACACCATCCCCACCGTCAAACATGGAGGTGGAAACATTATGCTTTGGGGGTGTTTTTCTGCTAAGGGGACAGGACAACTTCACCGCATCAAAGGGACGATGGACGGGGCCATGTACCGTGAAATCTTGGGTGAGAACCTCCTTCCCTCAGCCAGGGCATTGAAAATGGGTCGTGGATGGGTATTCCAGCATGACAATGACCCAAAACACACGGCCAAGGCAACAAAGGAGTGGCTCAAGAAGAAGCACATTAAGGTCCTGGAGTGGCCTAGCCAGTCTCCAGACCTTAATCCCATAGAAAATCTGTGGAGGGAGCTGAAGGTTCGACTTGCCAAACGTCAGCCTCGAAACCTTAATGACTTGGAGGAGTGGGACAAAATTCCTCCTGAGATGTGTGCAAACCTGGTGGCCAACTACAAGAAACGTCTGATCTCTGTGATTGCCAACAAGGGTTTTGCCACCAAGTACTAAGTCATGTTTTGCAGAGGGGTCAAATACTTATTTCATTAAAATGCAAATCGATTTATAACATTTTTGACATGCGTTTTTCTGGATTTGTTTTGTTGTTATTCTGTTTCTCACTGTTCAAATAAACCTACCATTAAAATTATAGACTGATCATTTCTTTATCAGTGGGCAAACGTACAAAATCAGCTGGGTATCAAATACTTTTTTCCCTCACTCTATATGGCGGTGATGATGTCCAATGCGATTCTTTGTGCCTCGATTAAGGAGGGTCGCTCACTCCGTCGACCGACGACCCCTAACCTCTGCCTTTCTGACCCCTTGACGCTGGTTGCCGGCAGGAGGCTACTGTGGGCAGGACCGGCAGGGGGCAAGGGCAAGCGCATGGCCGGCGGCGGAAGCTGGCGCACCTTCTTCCAGCTGGGCAGGGGCGGCGGCGCCACGAGGCGCAAGCTGCAGCGCAACCCGAGTGAGCCGGCGTCCACCTCCACGCAGTGCTCCACCTTCCCCGGTGAGATTCAATCCTCACGCCCCGGCATCCCGTTACACCCGGGGTTTTTTTTTTTACCCCGGGGTTATACGAGCGAGAACTCCAGTTATCCGGATAACTGCCGATTGTGTCGAGTCTGTTGTTTGTTGTCCCTTCTCCCCCTCCCCACCACCTCCGATTCTCACCGTACGTAGTCAGCCGTGCAAATCAATTTCTGTTTCATTCATTACATTTTCAAGTACCCTGTGAGTTAAGAGGCTTTTGAATCAGGTTTTATCAACAAAAGCAACATACACGCTTACACAACCAAGTGACAGCCACCACGTACTACTGGATCCGAGTGTAGGTGGTCCCTCACATTACCCCGCGATAACCGGAGTTTTCCCGTAGACACGACGCTTCGATTGAAACTTCGCCGGGCATCGACAGGAGGACCCGGGAAGTCAGAATAATTACGCTTCACAATCCCCGCGCTGCGAGTCGCGCTACACGAGCCGCACGTGGGCTTTGGGGGTTCGACCGCGGCTTGGATCGTTGATCTCCGTGCGGCTTTATCTCTGCGTTCCCGTGTCCGCCCCCCCCCCCCCCCCCCGTAGGTCTGGTACGGTCTGAACGCGGGAGCCTGAGGTCGGCGAAGAGCGAGGAGTCGCTGACGTCGCTGCATAGTACGGAGGGTATGCCTAGTTCGAGGGCTTGGGGACACACATGCACGCGCGCACGCACACACGCACGTGTGCAATGATCCCCGTATAGCCTACATTTCCAACTTGAAGGCAACGCAAACTCGCGGTTTGCCATCTGAGTTTGATCGCCCTGGAGCCAATGCAGCTTTTTGTGTTCATTTTGTTGTCCTTACCCGGCACCTCCGATTAGCACGGTTCGCTACGTACGGTGTGAAAGAAGATCAACATACAAACGCACATTGTCTCTTGCCGAAAGCACTGTTAGCGACCATTAGTTGTGGTCTTTACCACATCCGGCCAGCTTACCACTGCTCCCAATGCATCATACAAGACAAGACAAATATCCCCCATATAGCCTTGATATACTTTTAGGGCAAGTGCTGTAAGCGGGAACCTATAAAGGCCGGCCTAGTACACAAGCAAGATGGGTGGACAGAACCATGCCCGGACACCTTGGTTTCCCTAGTAGCGATGTTTACATCCTGTCGCAGGTGCTCATCTGTATAAATACAAATACACAGATCCCTGCATAGCCTACTTAAGCTGCTGCAGTAAATGCCGTGTGTGAGCACCTATGAAGACTGGCATGTTTATACAATGCACCAGGTACGTATTGAAGGCCAAGTCGACCTAGGGAAGGCCAACGACTGGTTCAGTTATTCATCATCACTGATGTGACCCGTGGCCACCAATTGAACCCAGGGGGCCGGGCTCTTCGTTGCAGTGTGCCGACCACTGCACCACCGCTCCCTTTACAGACGGATAGAGATGCGCAGACATGCACACCCACAGACAGGCAAGCAAATGCATTGAGACAATAAGGCACTCTCAGGAACACAGATAGATGATGATGATGGTGGCGATGAAAACGCATGAATCACTCACCCCCTCTCGTGACCTTCCTCCTCGCCGTCTCGTTGCAGTCGAGGTGAAGGCGTGCAAACCGCGCCGCCCTCGCTCAAGCAACGACGCGCTGTCCCCCAGCTACTGCGCCTCGGCGCTCTCCGACGTCTCGCAGTACGGCTCCTACGACAATCTTCCCCCGTCACCGCCCCGGGACCGGCACGACGGCACCCGCCGTCACAGCAACTCCCACAACGCGGCGGCGGAGGGAAGGGTTGACCGCGGCGGCGCTCGGGATGACGGCGCCGGCTCGGCGGAGAGAACCGGCAACGCCGCCGCCGACGCCGCAGAGGAATCCGTCGGCAGCGACGAAGATCTCCTGGACCCCCCGGACGTCGGGGGCGACGGCCTGGACTTCGACCCCATGGCATTCCACCTGAGCCCGGCGCGCAGCGGCGGCAAGCCCTCGTCGGCGTCATCGCCGGCGTCGTCGTCCGCGTCGTCCGCCGGCGTCCACCGGAGTCCCGTCGCGGCCGGCGGCGTGACGGCGGTCGGTCCGGCCGTGTTCCGGGTCGGCGAGTTCGAGGCGGGAAGTGGGGGGGGGCGGCTGGTGATGCTGACGGGGCAAGCCTCGCGGGAGCCGCAAACTCGCGAAAGCGACGCCGGCGCCGCCGCGCCGGACGGGCGGAACGACCCGCCGGAGCCGCGCTCGCTCGTAGACGCCGCGGCCATCCTCGAAGACCGCTCGCCGCCGGCCCCGACCAAATCTGGCAGGGGCAAGGAGAAGCCGCAGGCGTGCGTCGGTGCGGACGCGGGGAAGGAAGCCGAGGCGGGGGCTGCGCCGACGCCAGAAGGCGGCGGCGTCACCGCCCCGGCCTCGCCGGCTGCCGAGCGGCTCCGGAGCCCCTTCTTCGGCCCCGAGGGGGGGGCGGCGGTGGCGTCGACGCCGGCGTCGGAGGAGAGGGCGGCGAGCAAGTCGGTGTCGTTCGCCGAGAAGATGGTGCAGGCGTTCTCGCCGAAAGCGGGCCGCAACTCGGCCAAGGCGTCGCCCATGAGCATCTCTGAGCCCATCGCCATCACGCTGCCGGCGCGCGTGTCCGAGATGATCGGGGCCACGCCGGCGACGACGACCGCCGCGCCGGCGGCGGCCGCGGCGGCCACGGCAGCCTCCGCGCCGGCCGGGTCCGTCGGGTCCGCGGGGCCGGCGTCGCCGCTTCCCCACGGCGGTGCCGCCGCAAAGGGATTCAAGTACCTGGGGAAGTCGCCGCCCGTCATGGGGGTCACGTGGTCGCCCGACGCCCACACGGTCAACTTCTCGTCGACGGTGGATGGGGGAGCGAGTAGGGCACGGACGCCGACCGCGGAAGGTGCGCACGCGCGCGTGCGTGTCGGTGTGTGTGTGTGTGTATTGATTGATGTGCGTGGCTTGTGTCTGTACGTGTCAATCCGTGTGTGTCAATGGAGAGCGGTGGCTCACTGTGCTGCGAACTCGGGAACCCGAGTTCGATTCCCACTCTCGGCCAACACCGGTGACGAATATCTGAACTGGTCCTGGGCCTCCCCTTGGTCCAGTTAGCCTCAAATGAGTACCTGGTGCGGTGTGTAAACATGGGGGAGACAGAGGCGGTCGGGCGTGGTGCTGGCCACCCACCCCCTCGTGTGCCGTGCTGACCTTCATAGGTGCTCGCCTAACAGCACTTGCCTAAACAGCCTTTTAAGGCTATACGGGGGATCTTTGTATGTCTTTGTTTTGTGTATTGAATGGGTGGCAGTGTGCATGGCTTGTATCTGTACGCGTCAATCCATGTCAATGGAGAGCGGTGGCTCACTGGTCTGCGAACTGGGCGACTGAATTCGATTCCTACTCGCGGCCAATATCGGTGACTATAATTTGAACCGGTCCTGGGCCTCCCTGAGGTCGACTCGGCCTCAAGGTATGTAAACATCAGCAGCGGGGAGACAATGGATGTCTTTGTGCATGTGTCTGTGTGTAATTGAATTGTGCATATATCTTGTGTTTTTGTGTCTGTGTGTAGTATGCAGGTTTATGTCTGTATAAGCGTGTGTGTGTGTTGTATCATTTTGCGTGTCTGTACGTCAGTATCCCGGCCCAGCGGTAACACGCGGAGGTTCGCGGTTCAAATCTGCCAGGCTGCCTCAGTTAGTATCAACCATAAAATATGCACCGTCTGCTTCTTAGTAGCGTGTGACGTCATTTGAAAAGGGTAGTCCATTGGGTGCCAGTTTCACGATCCAAAGTTGAAAAACGCCCCACGATTTGCTCGAATGGGACTACACGGAGCAATCATCGCCCCCTGCTGGCCGGTGCTGCGCACGCCTTGTGTAGCACAGGGACAGCTGCCACTGGGGTGCCCTCTAGTTTGACTGCAGCAGGTCTTGCCGAGCAAGCGCCCCTGTACGTGCGAATCCTTGACGCTCGTCCCTCTCAAATGACGACACGTTCGTCGAACAGGCATTAAGGACGGAGGAGCCACGGGCGACGGCAAGGGCCCTCCGGAGGACGCGACAGAGGAGCGCGCGGCTCGCGAATCGTCCGACGGCGCCGTGAGAAAGCAGACGGAGGCGACGGCGGCGACGGAAAAGCCGAGCGACAGCCGCAGGGAGAGGGAGCAGCGGCACGGGGAGGCCGCGGACGAGCGGGCGAGCGGTGGCGGCGGCGCCGCGGCGGCGGCCGTTGGGCGGGGCGAGCGACTGGGCAGGGCCCTGAGCCTGGACGGGGACGCGCCCGCCAGGGTGCCGGCGAGGCCGCAGAGGCTGCCGCTGGTCAGCGTCAACGATGCTGGGGGGAGGCGCGACGCGGAGGCGAGTCCCCCCGCGTATCCCGTCATCGATTTCAGTGGGCCGTGATCAATCCACTGCTAGATGAAAGCTTCCCCAAGACGTCTCGTTTTCTCTCATTCCTATGGCAGGGACAGCATTTATCCATGATGCTTTATTCCTCCTCTTCCTGTCCAGCCCCTATGTGGAGGCCGCTGTTCACAAACTTGTGACACCAGCAGCAGCAGCAGTCGTCATCGTATCTCATCTGCTGCTGATGTTTCCTTATTGTTGTCACCTCTGTTGCCTCCACCTCCTCTTCCGCTACATCATTCAATCAAGTTTATCATACGTCCTCTGCCTGTATGCAAGTTGATTTCCTCGCTGCATCTCTGCGGTGGACGGCACCTTGGGCAGCCCCCATCGGTCGTCCCGACCACCGGTCGCCATCCTCTTTCACTGTGTGTCCTGCCCAGACCCACTCACGTTACTTGCTCACACACAAATGTGTGTTCAGCGGAGGAGTGATAGCACCAGTGGTTAGAGCGCCGCGCTCTGAACCCTGCAAGTCGAGTTCAATTCCCGTGGCAAGATAATATCAGAACCGGTCCTGCTCCTTCCTCTTCTTCACCAGTCCGCACTAACCAGCGTAGTATTGTGGTCAAACACCCCCTGCCATCGCAGACATGGATGTTCATCCATTGGTGGATTTACAATGTCTAGAATTTATTTTAAAAAAATGTTGTTTAAACCCACGTGAAGCTTGGTGCTATCATTCCGCTAACTCTTGTTGACACTTGCACTCTGTCTCTGCAGGAGAAGGCGATGGAAAAGGACAGGGCATCGCAGCAGCAGCAACAACCGCAGCAACACTCAAAACTGCCCACCACCCACCACCAACACCACCGCCAGCACCAGCACCAGCAGCATCACCACGGCCACAGGAGGCAGCTGTCGCTGTCGGCGGACGGTTCCGAGCGCCGCTTCGAGGGCACCGTGGCACGGGCGTGGAGCCCCCCACTCACGGCGCACGACTCCGACATCGCGCCCCCGCGGCCGCCCTTCCCCTCCGACTTCCTGTCGTCGCAACTGCACAACCACTACCTGCACCACCACCAGCAGCAGCAGCACCAGCAGCAGCACAGGGCAGACGGCTCGCCCACACAGTTCGTGACGACGCTCGCCTACACCGCGCACGGCAAGGGCTTCCCGACGTTCGTGACCGCCGCCGGCCGGCGCACGGAGGGGCCCGGTCCGGCTACGGCGCCCTCGTCGGCGGTGGCGACGCCGGTGTCCACCCCGTTCTGGCCGAGCTCGGGCAGCGCCGGCGCCGTGGACGGGAGGACGCCGCTGGCGCTGGCGCCCGGGGCGTTCGGCGACGCTGTCAACAGCCGCTCGCTGCCCGTGCTGCGAACCGAAGTGCCGCCAGGCCCCGAAACGGTGGTGTACGTGGCGCCGTCAAAGTCGCGCCAGCTCCACCCCCAGCAGCAGCAGCAGCAGCCGACCGACGTCATGAGCAAGCAGCCGTACTTCGAGAACGGGCGCGTGCACTACCGCTTTGCTTCTTACCCCCCTCCTCCGGGGTTCGGTGGGCAGCTCAATCTGTCGGACCCCCACCCGATGGCGGCGCACCCCCAGCAGAGACCCGGCAGCGGCGCCAGGCCTCCCCGGAACGGCGCCTTCCTCCTCGAGGCGGCCGAGGCGTACCAGGCCCCCCGCGGCAGCGCCGCGTACGAGCCTATCGCGGCCGGCGCCGGCCGCGGCGGCAGCTACTTCGAGACGCTGCAGGACTTCCTGGCCGGGGGGGCCCAGCCGCCGTTCAGCTTGCGCCGCGTGCACACGTTCGCGACGCGCGACGACTTCCCCCCGCAGCCGCCGATGGCGCAGCAGCAGGAAGCGCCGGCGGCGACGGCGTGGGGCGGGCGCCATGCGCCGGGCGAGCCGGCATGGGTGGCGGCGCCCGGCCGGCGCGAGCACAGCTTCGTTAGCCGCGACGTCCCGCCATCTCCGCGCCGCTCTGCCGCGGCCGCCGTGGCCGCCGTCGGCGCCGCTCGTGACAAACACCCGCCCATGCGCAGGGAGTCGCGCACCCGGCAGCAGGCCAAGTCTGCCGCGCTCGTCTCGCGCTACGACAACGTGGTGCCGTCGGGGGACGAGTTCGCGTCGCGGGCCTTTGGCCCGGCGCCGTTAGGCGGCGGCTCGGACGCCTTCCCCTTGCCGGTTCACCTGCGCAGCAAGTCGGACCCGGGCCGCTTCGGCCTCATGCCCGAGGGCTGCTTCTTCCAGCCAGGCCGCCGTTCGCTGCTGCTGGAGCAAGGCTTCACGCTGGTGTCGCCTCTGGATGGAGCCGAGATTCAGACACAGCAGCAGTACCAGCAGCAGCAGCAGCACATGTACCATGTGACGGACAGGCGCGGCGCCAACTGGAGAGGGGGCGCCGACGGCTCGACGCCACAGCTGTACGCGCTGGTGCCAGTCGGCGGGTACGAGCACGGGCGGCCCATGGAGGTCCACTACGTGGGCAAAGCGGAGCCGGAGAGGGGGGCGCACCGGCAGCTCCTGCCGCCGCCACTGCCGCCGCCACCGCTCCAAGCGCAGCCCGCGCGGGGGTTCTATTCGACGGACCTGGACAGTGTGGCGCCTGAGCACCGGCAGCAGCAGCAGCAACAGCAGCAGCAACACTACCACCACGAGCGCCGGCAGTCGTTGCCGGTGTCGGCCGGCGGCGCGCATGCCGGCTACCGGGAGCCGCACGCGCACCCGTCATCCCAGCACTACCCGGCGGCGCCGCATCAGCACCACGCGCCGCCGGCGCCCAAGAGGCCGAGCACGGCGGCGACGGCGGCGGCGATGGCGCCGCAGTACGAGAGCCTGGCGCCGACGGACGACATCGGGCCGGGACGCAGGGCCGGCGCGTTCTCCCCGGCGCCGGCGGCGATCTACTCGCAGCACCAGCCGCCCGCCGCCGCGCTGCACTTCATGTCGCCGGGCGCCCCCACGGGGGGACCTCGGGGCGGTCCCTACATGAGGCAGGGTGGGGGGGGCTTCTACCCGGCGGAGCTGTCGATTCACCGGGCCGAAGCAGAGCTGCAGGTTGACCTGTAGACACCCGCGCTCGTTGAGAGAGGGGTGGGGGGAGTGATTGACGGCACTAGCCGTGAACTCTTAACCTTGATGCTTTGTTTACCCGGGACAGCTTCACTCGCGGAATCTCAAGACTGTGGTTGTCTTGTTTTTTGTTTTTAGTGACGGTCCTGCTTGGGATGTCCAGCCAATTCTAATCTGGGTGGGGTTTTTGTTTTGTTTTACTGTGCGGAAGGGAAGCGGAGTGCCCGGAGAAAATCCATGCATGCGAGGGGGATAACCTTCATTCTAGCTCTGAGCTCAGCCCCAATGCGTAACTCTCATCCCTGTGCGGTCTCGTTAAAGTGATAAGCGGCAGATTTCATCTCCATAGCGGCAGTGCCCAACACGTTTATTTATGATTCGTTTAAGTTAATGTCTGTTTTATTTTTTTTGTAAATGTCCTTTCTGTTGTTACACTCGGTTTTCCTGCGCGATATTCGGGTGGCTTAGCGACACGCGCATCGGTGTCGTTGAGCCCAAGATGGAGAGGGAAATGGATGGGATGCAATTTTCATCTTGCCATGTATTTTAAATGTTTTTTTTCTATGATTTTTATTTTAAAAGTACTCGTGTGTTTTTATTTTATATTTGCCGTCATTGATTTTGCGACGTCGCCGTACGTTTTAAGTCGTCGTTGTCGTTATTTGTTTGTCATCGTTTGTTGATGGGGACCACATGCAGGGATGGAAGGACTATGTTTCAGGGGTTCAAGTCCACCAATCACGCAAGACTATTTGTGATCACGTGAGGTTCGGCAAACCAATAACAGGGCCGGGTTTAGGTATCCTTGCTCCTGGGACACCAGGGCAGAGAAGAGACCCCCTCCTCCCAAGACAAATACAGATACACACAAGATCCAATCAAGTCAGATTTTTCTGAATAAAAAAAATATAACTTTTTGTGTGTGTCCCTCTGGAGTTTTGGACTATGGACAAATATCCCGTTTGCCCCCTTCCCCTGCCTAAATCCAGCCCTGAGTAATAATAACAATGAATACCAACATAACCGCGCATGTTGGTTCGAACGTCGCCACACGTCTGGTAACCCAGAACGCGTGCCGAATTCATGAGACATTAGCAGAAAAAATGCTTTGGAAGCTTTACAATCGATCACGGACGCGTCCTTGTCGTTGGAGTCCAAGAAAAGGATGTGCACGGCAATCTGAGCCAAGCCAAGCTGCCAGCGGCCATCCCGAGCCGAGCGCCCTGCCAGCGGCATCCGAGCCGAGCGTGCTGCCAGCGGCCATCCCGAGCCAAGCGAGCTGTTAGCGGTGATCGAGCCGAGCGTGCTGCCAGCGGCGATTCGAGCCGAGCGAGCTGTTAGCGGTGATCGAGCCGAGCGCGCTGCCACCGGCGGCCCGCTGCCACCGGTGTCGCCCAGATTCTGGCACGTATCGTGTTTTGCGCGAGGAAAAAAACAACATTTTTTTACGAAATAACAAAAAAACCCATAAAACATCCATTCCACGTAGTACGCGGCAGTTCATTAATGCGACAGGTTTCGTTGCGTCGGTCGTCGCGACTTCTCAGAGACTCCCAACTCACGATGACGATGAATGAATGTGCCAGTGACGATCATCCTCACTGCGTGTAAGCAGCCTCGCTGCAGGACAGAGCCTTGATCCTCCCTCTTCTTCCAATCCTCGCGCAGCTCGGCCTTCGGCAATCTCTTCCTTCATCTGCCTTTCAAACCTCGTCAATGCACAGCCCCACTTTTGTCCATCCACTGCTGAATAAGAGCTCCCACTCCCCACGCCGTGCGGATCTTGGGCGTTATTTCGACCATATTTTGCCACGCCGCTCAGCGCGAGTTGCCATAGGGGGGCATAAAAGAGCAGTACGACGATCTGTTTTGCTGCGCTGACTTCTGTCGCCCACCACCAATCTTGTCAGATAGCCAAAAAGCCTCAGCCTCATCTGTTTTTCAGGAGGGTCCTACCAAGTTTTCGCAGTAGGGGGCGATTCTGCTGCTGTGTCCAATCCCAATTGAGCAATTCGCAGGCAATATTTCAGCAGTGGGGATGTTTGGCCATTACCAAATTACACAACTCCTACCTTAACATGTACAGTAGGTATTTTGGATGCTAGGTATGAGACACAACATTTCCATAAGTTACGGTCCTTATTCCTACTTTATTCCATTATTTCTTATCGGGGAAATTGCCCCACTTTGCGTCGCATAGGCAATGTTTACACTCTTACGCCCCCCCCCCCCCCATTAACACGTAGTATTCCATATGGGGGAAAAGTCCCCGTTATACATCGTTTCAAGTGGCAACTTTCCGACCCCTAACCCCGACGTATATTGGGACCCCCCCTCCCGTACTTGTACCACCACTCTGGCCTTCCTGAATAATCTCTTCATCTTTGCGCGAACTATCTCTCTCCTGAAGCCCTCTCGTGGCTATCAGACCTCGACATTGGTATTTAGCTCCTGGACACGTCGCCGTACGCAAGATTTGGAATAAGTTCTGACCCAGTCCACACCTCGTGACCAAACACGCACGCTACCATCAATTCGCATCTCAACAAAATTACCAAATCACCATCACCTTGCGGATTTACCCACTTTTGGTGATGAGAATTTGGCACGTTTCCACCACAATTTAACACGCATTTTGTCTAATGAGAGCACACCCCCCCTCTCGAATGTTATCTCAAATTGAACGGTGCAATCCTCATGCAGTTATGTTGAGAGTAATACAATGTTTCCGACGTAAATAACCGCGACTCGGGTGAGCGAGCGAGTGTTGAGTGAGGCGCCAACATGGCTCAGCGTCGCTCGAAAACTTTGCAAGAGGAGGTTTTCGCGGTCTCTTCGAAGTCGGTGCAGCTCGAATGCCTCGCTGCCAAATGCGCGGCGCAATGCTGCCCACGGTGTAGAGATCACAACGTAGTTGCCGTGTTGTGTGCGCGTTGCGTTTCGTTTCGTTTATTCCCGGACTGCATTACTCGACAATTCAAGAGAGCACTGCGAGGGGACCGGATGAGTTTGCAATGAGCTGTCCACACAATGACAAAAGCCCATGACGCTGATTGTTTTTGTTCGTGACAAAATGTATATGTTTAACAAGATAACTAGTTTATTTTGCATTTAATGACAGTCTAAAACTTTTTTTAATGCAAACAAAAAAAATGTACATTAAAACATTGCTATCGAATTCCTTTGTTTCTCGCCCACTTATAAACCGCGCAGGCCGCATTCTCTTGCCTAGGTTCCTCTGCTCGGTTCGAGTGAGCTCCGTGGGCTGGGCTGTCTAGGCAAGAGGGGAGGGCAGGAGGGGTCGGGTCTTTAGGCCTTCATAGGCTCTACAATATTGATCCAATGGGCTATCAGTGGCTCAAATAATTGGAAGTGGTTCAAATATGTGCAGCTTTGTTGCAATCAGGACGCAGAAAAGTGTCTTTGTTCAACGAGGAATGTTGTACGAAATTTGAACAACACAACGTGTGAAGGTAATTTGCTGTTTAAACTTAGCTCCAGTCCCTGCTCACGAGCTGATCAAATCAAGAACGCATTTGTGATAAAACAGATTTGAGCTTCCAAGAAACTCTTCCATGCAGTCTTTTTATTCATGTAACCAGTCTTTTGGATCCACATCGATAACAAACGATGAAAGTAAATTTGGAGTAAACGTAGTCGTTAAGGCACAATGCACACCAAAACAACGTGCAGCTCACTGTAGCTGAGTGTGAACCTTCACACCTTTGAGATCAAGGATATCTTACGCCACAGCTGACGGAATGGGCCTCCACGAGCTCAAGAACCCAGTAAACAAATGCAAACGTTGGCCCAACGTTTGCATTTGCGGTTAGAACCGTTGGACCAACGTCCCCACGTTGCATGCTTACTGTGGGTGGGACCCTGGGTGGGACCTCCCATCCATGAGAGGGCATTGGTGACACGTTGTTCAATGCCGCACCTGTGTCGTGGGAGAGGTGGGAGTGCCCTCACTTTACCCCCACCACACCATCACACCACAACATTTCACCTGCCCATCGACTAACTGGGATAGACTGATGTGGAGTGGGGAATTTAGGAAACTCGCACCATCGTTTCAACTGCCTCTCCGATTTTTTGACGAAAAAACATATCCTTCACGTGCTCGGTCGTAGGATTTTACAGGACATCGATGACTGTCACCGGGACGCTTTCACGATTTTTCGTTGACCGTAAATAAGATCACGTATTTTTTTTCTAAGTCGTTTTCTCGATTGTGATGGGAGATATCGCCACGGTTTATTTTGCCCAAATGTACACCTGTAAAGGAAACATTCGCCAACAACCCTGGATTGCGTCCTGGCATCTTAGGGGGAATACCATCCACAGTCACGATCTCATGCCTGTGAATTATTATCACTTGCACTGCTGTCATAACATTTCTTCTTAATTGAAGCTGCCAACACCAATTGAAACGACCTGAATTTTTTTCTTTTAGTGAAGGTACTTTTAATTAAAAAAGTATTTAACCGATACATGCTCAATAATTCTAAAACTGAGTGACATACACCTGCTTTGTTAGAATTGCAAGTGCCTACCTTTGGTAATGTGATTACATGAAAGGTAATCTCATCACAATAACATTACTTGGAGTGCATGACAAATTTATTCTCAACCCGTTCACGTGCAGGCGACAAATGCATCGCGAGCGCTGAAAACTAGTTCTTGGTCATAAATTGCTCCTCTCATGGACACAGACAAATGCACAACTGAGACGTGCCGATACAGTCAGTGGGAAGTCAACGGTGATCACGTTGATAGACCGGTCCATGTCATAGGAAGGAATGTGGAATTGCCGCTACTGGCTCAGCTCAACATTCATTTTAATTTGGAGTCAAACGTTCTAAAATGGTCAGTACTTAACGGGATGACCTATAGAGTCAGTGGTGATGTGATGACTGTAAGAGTGGTGGTCCCTGGATGGCATGTTGACTGTAGCAAAAGAAGGTCTACGGTGATGTTGGTGATGTTACTGATGAAGACGAGTGGGGGTAGCGGCAATGTAGCGGCAGTGTAGCGGTTAGCGTGCTGCGTTACGAACCTGGCTACCCGAGTTCGATTCCCGCCCACGGTCACCAACACCAGTAACGATTATCTGACCCGGTCCTGGGCCTCCCCGAGGTCGACTCAGCCTCACACGAGTACCTGGTGCAGTGTGTAAACATTGCCACTATGGAGACAAAGGCGGCCGGGCGTGGTTGCTGGCCACTCACCCCCTCGTGCGTCGTGCCGTCCTTCGTAAGTGCTACTCGCTAACAGCACTTGCCCCAGCAGTCTGTGCTGTACGGGGGATCTTTGATGAGACGAGAGAGGTTAGGTGTCGATTGAGGATTCTAGCTGAAGGAAGGAAAGGCCCGGGAGGATTGTATATGCAATGTGGATGTCACATGGCAGGCATTAACGGTGGTCCGCAAACATGTGTGAGGGTTGACGGTGGTCAGATGGGTCCCAGAAATGTTGGTAGCCAAATCACTTGACCATGAGATCCAAAGTGATGGGTGGTTATCCATCTTGATCAGCCATGATCAGTCCACCGCTGCATGAAGGCTTGCCCCAAGCTATTCTTAGGTTTACAAATTTGTCTTCCTGAAAGAAGGCACATGCCCACAATGTGAGAATATTTGTCATGATTTATGGCTATGCTTTTGTGTGTAAAGTTACGTGTAAGTAAGTAATGTACGTCTTCCTGCATGCATGTATGTTTAATGTATGCATATTATATAATATGCGTATGTAATTCTGTGTATGCATTACAGAACTTCGCAAATAATGTATTTGTTATGTAATGTACATGTTAAAGCCCGTGTGTCAATCCACTGCTGGATGAGGGCCTCCCAGCACATTGTGGGTCACGGGAGTGGTTTTGATCATACTTCACCACACTAGGCAGTGTGGGTTGAAGGTGGCGAGCAGAGGCATGGGAACATAGAAGTACAGCACAACAATGGATTTTTCTGTGCTGCCTTCTGCTGTCCACTGCATAGCCACACAGCAGCCTACATCAACTTTCTACGCACAGGGATCACCCCTCCAAGCACTATCCAGGCTCAATCCTGCTAAGCTTGCGAGATCTTACAGGATTGAGTGCGTTGAGTTAATAGGTCATATGCGGCTGTATGTAATGTGTGTTTGTAATGTTTGTATTTAATACGTGTTGGGCATCATTGACGATGTTCTATGTATCGATGGGATTTCCGATTATCTAAGTAATAGATCACTGATTATCGGTTTGAGTACTCGGCTCATGGGATAACGTGAAATCAGTTGTGGGGGGAAAGCAAGTCTCATGTTTGCCGCTGGATGGGAGGTGACGGGCATGGCTTGGTGATGTCGTCAGTCGCATCAGGCCGGGCGTGGATTGCAGGGGGGTTGCCTGCCTTCTTTATTCCTGTTAAGATGTTGGGGAGGGCCAGCTTTCCAGGGGCCCGAGTAGATTGACCTCCAAAATAAAATAGTCGATTATAATTTCCAGTTGTCCGTTACAATCGCGACTCGACGGACTGACTTGTCCCCCCACCGCCCCGGTTCTAAGCGCCATCCCTCTGGTAAAGGCGGGGGGGGGGGGGGGGTAACCATTGCGGGGGAGCTGCACAACTATGGCTGTCGCCTGATGATGCTGGTTGTAATTACTGGCGAAACGTCACGGTACTCGGAATTGTAAATGCTGTGGATTTTACTTTCCAACACACCGGTGTGCTGTAGTAGTAGTAACGAATTGGCACGGTTTGTTTACCGTGACAAACCTTACTCATTGGCTGCTAACCGTAAACAAACCACTTATTACTGGTTATTTCGGTTAAGTCACGTAGAAGGGAAATAATACAAATAAAACAATAGTGAGAATTTTATTGTATTATTTGTATTATTTCCCTTCTACGTGACTTTACCGAAAGAACCAAGAATATTAATCCCTGCAGTCACGAAAGTTTTAAATCGAAATTTAAACCACCTGTGGAGCTGCAACCCCACGGATTGCTCTGGAGACGCCCACCCATCTCTTAGCCACGCCCTATCGCTGTGGCCACGTCCACCCGTCTCTGTAGCCACGCCCGTCGTCGATGTGACCACGCCCCACCATCATTATAGCCACGCCCACCACCCTTGTGGCCACGCCCCCGCGCTGCCCACGTACCTTGACAGCGTGAACCGCATTATCTCTGTCCAGCTGTCTGTAACGAGGGGTGTTGGGGGGGGCACGATAACTCTTGTATAGGTGGTCCAATGTGAATGAAACTTTCGTGTAAGGTTGTGTTTCTATTAGGGTCTTGCCGTCGAGAGAACCGGCTGCATCGGTCAATGGGCTGCACCACCTCCCCCCCCCCAAAAAAAAAATTAGTGGAGATGAAAAGCCGTGCTTAACAAACTCATGAAACCATTGCTACAAGTGTGTGTGTGTGGCCTGCACTCTCCCAATAACGTCTCACCGTGCAACTTGAAACGTAACTTTATCGTTGCTCATTAAATGCTTCCGAGAATAGTCACGTGTTCAAGCGTGTTCTAGAATACATGCATACGCATGCTTTTTTTCTCTCTTGTTTGGGTGTGAATTTCCGGAAGAAAACTAAAACGGCCGTTGCCCGCTAATTCCCAACAAAACTACCTGCAAATCGCCTCGTGGCAGGATATGTACACTTGCACATGAAAGGGGCATTCTATGGTGGTGGAGGGGTTAGACCTTTAACCCAAGGTTTTCCGCCACGGATGCTTCCTGGATTAGAACCCATACCCCATAACCAGTCAGGTCCCTCCCGGTTATCCGGACGCAGAATGTGTTGTACACTTAGCTGTACGTTACGGTGGCCTTGCTTTGCTCAATAAGCCCCCATCAGTCACTATACCTGTGGTGAGATGGTGAGTATGAATGTGCAAGTATGTATGTGTGAGTGGTGGTGTGCATATGTGGTAGTGCGTACACGTGCACAAGTGTGTGTGAACGTTGAGTGTGCATGCTCTTAGACGTTCCTGGAAAACCCATGCAGAACTTCGCGTGACTTAGAACAAATGACGAAATATCATTCAAATACTCTGCATGCGTGTGTATGTATGCGCGATCATTCTTAGCAGGATAAGAATTCGACCTGTACACACAAACATAAAAGCACCCATCCAGAGACATTGGTATTTTGATGACAACCAAATCATTTGGGTCATTGTGGTGAA